GTGGTGATTCCTGTCATTTAGTTGTCTTAGTTGTTTGAAGGTTTGATTGTGTGTACCTAAATCGAGGTTACTTCTCTACTTTCTTGCTTTTTCTTTCTCTATGTTTTGGGCTGCCTGCCTTTCATGGTTATGTTGGGTTTCACTTTCTGTGTGCAGAATCCCTTGAAGAATCTTTTGTAGTGGTGGCTTTGGGTCACATATTGTTTTAGTTTCTGCTTATCATGGAAGACTTTTATTGCTCCATCTATTTTGAATGATAGTTTTGCTGGGTAGAGTATCTGGGTTGAAGTTATTTTTCATTCAGTGCCTGGAAGATCTCACCCCAAGCTCTTCTTGCTTAATAGTTTCTGTTAGAAAGTCTGCTGTGATTTTGATGGGTTTACCTTTGTATGTTATTTGTTTTTTCTCTCTTAACAGCCTTCAATATTCTTTCTTGAGTCTCTGTACTTTTTTTTAATGATAATATGGTGGGGTAGTTCTATTTTGGTCCAGGTCTGTTTGGTTGTTCTGGAGCCTCTGCACTGTAGGGCATAGTTTTCTCTAGATTTGGAATTTTCTGTTATTAATTTTGTTGAATAATATGCATTCCCTTTTGCTTGCACCTCTTCTCCTTCTTCAATGCCCATGATTCTCAGGTTTGGTCTTTTGATGGAGTCAGTGAGTTCTTGCATTTTCTAATAGTTCTTTTGGTTTTTCCTTTAATTTACCATTTCATCTTCAAGTTTCTGAGGTCTGTCTTCTGTTTGTTCTATTCTGCTGGATTGCCTTCCATTTTGTTTTGCAATTCTTTTCTTTTTTCTGAGGTTTTCCATATTCCTGAGTCTCTTCCTCTTTAATGTTGTCTTTTCATCCTGAGTTAATTTATCTCTTTATTTATCATGTTCTTTGTTTCACTTTGGTGTTTATACAGTGCTTCTGTAGTTTATTTGTTCTTGTGCTTTCTCAAATTCTGTATTTTTGTTGTCTAGGAATTTCTTGAGTGTCTCCTGTACATTTTGGTTGACCATACCAGTATCATCTCTATAAAATTCTCATTGATTACTTGTGGGATTCCTTGTTTCAGGATGTTCTTGTGGGCTTCTTTGGGTTCTTTGGCATAGTTTATCTTCATTTTGTTGGAGTCTGGATCTGAGTATCTGTTTTCTTCTTTTCCCTCTATTTCCTGTACTAATTTATTACTGTGGGGAAACTGGTTTCCCTCTTTTTTCTGTCTTACCATCATTGCCCTTGCTATTGTTACTGTCCGTGTACTGTGTGCAATTAAGTATTTTCTAGCTTGTAATAATAACAATGGTGATATCTAGAATGGAAGGGTGAGAGGAGAGGGAAAGCAAAGAACGTAAAGAAAAAGGGAAAAACAAACAACTAAAAACAGAACAAAACAAAGAACAACAACAACAAAAAAACCAGTGCCAAAGAAATAAACAGGGAGAGATAGTGTACTAAGCAACAGGCATTAGAGAGACAGAGAGAGGATTAAAAAAAAAATCCCCAAGTTCAAATGCAATAAAGTTTCAGTCTTAATAATTTTGGTGTTAGTCCCTCAGCCTCCAATCCTGGAGATGGTGTCTCAGAAGTAGTTCTGTTGTTGTCTCATCAAAGGGGAAAAAAAACCCAAAAAAAAAAAAACCAAACAATGCCCAATTTCAAATGCAATACAGTTTTAGTTAGTCCTTCAGCATGCAGTTCTAGTTCAGTCTTTGTCTCATCAAAGGAAGAGGGAAAAAAAAGGGTCTGGAGAAAGTTCTGTGAATGTCTATCTGAGGCTGCAGCTCACCTGCCCGCTGCTGTCAGCTACCAGTTGCTGGAGACTTTATTGATTGCAGATCTCAAGAATGAGCTTAAGACTCACCTAGCCCCCCAGGCTTTATTTAGAGTTCTCCTGTGTGCAACCGCCACTGTTACAAGCTTTCTGCTCTCATAGCACTCTCCGGGAGGTGGCGCTACACCCGCCTTCTCTGGCTGGATTGTTTGTTTACAGTTCATATGGGAAGTGCCCCTTCCCCACTTTCCAGTGGCACTTTCCTCACACACCCACTGTTACAAGCTTTCCTGTTCTGAGGTTGTTGGGCGGGGGTGTCATTCCTGTCTTCTCTGGCCGGTTTGTTTATTTACAGTTCTGTGAGGGATTGCCCCTCCTCCCCTTCAGCGCTCAGGGCGCCCTGCCCTCTTTGCTATGTGTCTTTTTTTGTTTATTATTCGGTTTGTTTTTTCTCTCTTTTTTCCCTGGGTGGGGGTCAGTCTGTCCAGGGTCTATGCTGATCCGGCCCAGGGTTGTCTGTGGGAGTTCTGTGTGCCGCTTAGCTCACCTGGTGTCTGCTCTCTCGAGCCAGTAGAAGCTGCATCTGGTGGTGTGGAGCCCTCCTGGTTTCTCCTTAATGTGAGTGGGGATGTTATGCTCGGGCTGGGTGTGGAGTGTGGAGTTTTGCTTCTTCTCGGTGGTTTTTCCTGTAAGGTGTATGTCCAGCATCTTTCCAAGATTTTACTTTAGGAAGCACGCTTTCTGCTTCCTCCCTCTAGTCACTATCTTGGAATCCTCTCATTGGTTTTCATATGTAGGATTTTCTCATATTCCTGTAATAAATCCCACCTGATTATGGTGTGTGATACTGATCTGTTTGGCAATATTTTAAGGATTTCTTTTGTGTTTAAGTTTGCTTTTCTTTTTCTTGTGTCTTAAGGTTAATTATTGTTTCTAAGCTCTTTTTTAATATTGGTATTTATAGCTATACATTTACTATAAACACTGCTTTAGTTGTATCCTGTAAGTTTCTATGGTGTATTTCCATTTTCATTTGTCTCAGTGTTTTCTAATTTCCTTTTGATCTGTTAATTATTTAGGAGTGTGTTAATTTCTATATATTTGTGAATTTTTCAAAGTTTCTTCTGTTATGATTTCTTACCATTCCATTGTATTTGAAGGGCACTGTTCCTTCATTTCAAGTCTTTATGTGTGTGTGGCTTTTTGGGATCAGGTCTCACTATGTAGCTCAGGCTGGCCTTGAACTCTCCACATACATAGCTGGCTTTCAACCCTCCTGGCTGCTGGGATTCAGGTGTTTCCCACCATGCCTGGCATTTTCAATCCTTTTAAATTTACTGTTTTAGGTCATTTTTCATTATGCTTAATTAAATACCTGAGGTAGGCTACCTTATAAAGAAAAGAGGTTAGTTTGGTTTATGATTCTTGCTCAAGGAGTCGCACCTGGTGTTGGCTTTCTTTTTTTTATTTTTGTGGTACTGGAGCTTGAACTCAGGGCCTACACCTTGAGTCACTCCACCAGCCCTTTTTTTTTCTTTTTTTACAGTGGGTTTTTCAAGATAAGGTCTCTTGGAACTATCTGCCCAGGCTTGCTTCGAACCTCGATCTTCCTGATCTCTGCCTCCTGAGTAGCTATGATTATAGGTGTGAGTCACTGGCACCTGACTTGGTATTGGCTTTCTTGCTGAAAGAGTCCAAATTGTGGTATAGGTCTTTGCATAACAAGGGCCAGAGAGTATGGACTTCATGTGGCATGATTCCAATAAGTGTCTGGTCTCTCTTCTGAAGTTATTGAATCATGAGGTTCTACCCTACTGACTTTAATCCTGGCTACATCCCAGAGACCCCCGAACTCTGCATATCATAGTCAGATTTAACTTTTTGTCTTCATAATACCTCACAATGGAATTTCAATTTCAACACCTGAAGCCTTGGTAGTTACTTAAACCATATCCAAAACATATCCTTGAGTCTCCTTCTATGGCTTAGTACAGGTTTAATCTGGAGAGTGTTCCATAGGCCCTTCAGAAGATTTTGTACTCTGCATTTGAGTGGAGTGTTCTATTGATGTTTGTTAGATCTAGTTGGTTGACATTGTCATTCGGGTCTTTTGTTTCCTTGCTGCTTATGGTGTTTTTAAATAGCTTTTGTTTGAAGTTCTTTATTCTAAAATTTGATACTAGTGTAGATGGAAATTAGCAAATGAATATCATGTGTCAGTAATGAATTGTTGAGAGTTTTTCAATGAACAAAGTAGAGAAAAATCTCTTCCTCATGGAGTTTACATAATAGTAAGTGTATACATAATAAACAAATAACAAAATATATATTCTAGCATTTGGTATCGTGGAAAACAGTAGGTGAAAGGGGAAAGGAACATACCAAATACCAAGTAAGGAGTGTGGGTAGTTGTGGCGGGACTTTCAGTCTTATGCCTTACTGCTAAGATGACACTTGAATGGAGCTCTGCAGGAGGGAGAGGTTTAACCCACACTGACACTTGGGTGAATGGCATTCTTAGCAGAGGGACCAGCAGGTGCAAAGACCTGCTAAATGTATGTATGGCACATAGTGATTCAATGAAATTGCTTTGTCTTTTTAAGAATGTAGACACTTTTTTATTTTCTTTCTGGTTTGGAGATTACGTTATTGCAAAATGATTGTGTTATTTTCTTTTCCTTTTTAATTTTACTTTCACATTTCTTAGCACTTCACATTTGTATTTGTTTATTGGTTTATTTTCTGTCCCCCTTCCTAGAATGAAAGCCTCATGAAGTCAGGACTTTTATCTCTTTTATGTACTAGTAATGCATAGTTTATAAGTGACACTCAATAACTTTTTGTTTAAATAATTGGTAAGATATGACTTAACAGTTTCTTTTGGACTTAATGTCTATAAATAAATCTAAAACTGTTTCTTATGGCTTTTTGTCTCTTTATGTGAATGTATATACTATATATATTATGTTACTATTTTAAATTTTAGATTGGGAAGTAATTTTGTTTAAGTTCTTTTAGGAAGGAGAAAAATTAAATAGTTCTCTTGACTTTACACGTTAGAAGCTGATGGAGCAGTTAGACATCAGTTGGATTGTAGTTAATGTGCTGCATTACAAATTTTAATTCATTTTACTTTGGTGTTTTCATTTTTAATTTTATGAATTTTCTAAATTCTGATCTAAATTTGTATGATCTCTTGAATCTCATTTCTAATGGAATTTTATCTGCTGTTTTCCAGGGTGTGTGATAGCTGAACTTTTTACAGAAGGTGTACCATTATTTGATCTCTCTCAACTTCTGGCGTATAGAAATGGACATTTTTTCCCTGAACAAGTGCTAAATAAAATTGAAGATCACAGTATCAGAGAATTGGTAACTATGCTATAAAGTGTTTGCCATTAAGTTGTTAATAGGACTGTGTCCTGACTTTTGCCTTATGACTAAGGCAAAAGGTCTCTGGAATGCTGTAAATTTGGAATAAATCAGTAAAGCACTATAGACCAATACAAATAGCCTGTTGGTACTTTCCTAGGGAGAAAAGTGCTGTTTTTTCCCTCTCAGGCACATCGCTTATTTAGTTAAAAAAAAATCTTTCATCTGCCTATCTTCCATGGTAATCTTTGCTCTACTTTGGATGAATTTGGAAGAAGGTGTGTTCTTGGGTTATAGAGAGGTTGTCCTGGATAGAGCTTACTAGTAAGACATGAAGAAAGAGGTGGATGTGGTGGCACATGCCTATATTCTTAGCATTTGGAGGCTGAGGCAGGAGGATCAGGATTTTGAGGCCAGTTTGTTCTACATAGTGAATGAGACTTTGTTTCCAAAAAAAAGGGCAAATATTTAAAAAAAAAGATGTTTTTAGAAGAAGCCAATTTAGTGCATGCTGAGTGACTAGTGCACTGGATTAGGAGTTGGCATCACTGCTCTTATGTTTTTGAGTAGCATTTGTTTGTCATGTTACTTTGACTTAGTAACTTCATGTCTTTGGACCTACAATTTGTTAACTTTGAAAGGAGTGAATTTGTTTAATTTTTAAGGCTTAATTCAAATATAACACTAAATCTTTTAGGTAATTTTTTTCATGTAGTGCATTTGATTCCCTCAAGTTCAATACTGGGTTCTTAATTTAGAATATAAACAGAAAGTCCAAATAGCTGATAAATTTTGTGATATTTTATGTATTTAAGTAATGGAAAGATTAAACTGTGTTCTGTATATTAATTACTTATCTTCTCATACTAGAAAACGATAAACTAATCAGGTGAATAATTTCTAGTGTTCATAATTTGATATCTCTTTTATTTACTTATTTATTTATTTACATTTGTAGTACTGGAGTTTGATCTGAGAACCTTGTGCCACTTGAGTCGTACTTCCAGCCATTTTTGCTTTTAGTTATTTTTCAGATAATCTCATGTTTGTTGTCAGGGCCAGTCTAAGATCATGATCCTCCTACCTAAGCACCTCAGGTAGCTGGGATTACAGGCATGAGCCACTTTTCTCAGCCTTCTTTTATATCATTTAAAAATTTTTGAAATCTCTTTGTGATGGGAATCAAACTCAGGGCCTAACACATGCTAGGCAATACTCTACCACTGAGCTGCCCAGCCCTTCTTTTACATTATTTGAGAAGTTTAAACCACTAATTTTTGTCACCCCCACTTTGACTCCCTACCTTTACCGTGCTGGGGACCAGACTCAAGACCTCGTGTGTGCTAGACAAGTGTCCTATTATTCCTTTGGATTTGTGGCACAACCAGAACTCTCAACTGGAGATATGTAGATGGATCAGGAATTCTGTCATTCCTTGTAGAATTGTATGCAATTTTGTATGTAAAAATTGTAGACATTTTTCTCTGAAGAAGATCATTTTTTGTCTTAATAACAGGGAATAAGGGGCAGGGCATAGCCTCCTCCTTATGTGTCAGGGCTATCAGTAGTACGTTCCCGTTGCTTTCTTGGATGACGGTGGGGTTGTATATTATTTAGCTTTTAGGTTGTAAAAGTAGTTTAAGGTGAAGATTGAGAATAAAATTACCTCAGAAATACTTAAATCCCATGTAAATGTCCCGTGTAACTTTCACCTGGTTTAGTTTCCTGTTCTTAATCTATTTTTATTCCCTTTCTCTGTTTTGCATAGGTTACTCAGATGATTCATCGTGAGCCTGATAAACGTTTACAGGCTGAAGATTACTTAAAGCAGCAGCGTGGCAATGCCTTCCCTGAAATATTTTATACTTTCCTTCAGCCTTACATGGCCCAGTTTGCCAAGGAAACTTTTCTCTCTGCAGATGAGCGTATTCTGGTTATACGGAAGGATTTGGGCAACATTGTACACAACCTCTGTGGACCTGATCTGCCCGAAAACGCAGAAGGAGAGCCTAAGGAAAATGGGCTGGTGATCTTGGTGTCTGTTATAACATCCTGCCTACAGACCCTTAAATACTGTGATTCCAAACTTGCTGCTTTGGAACTCATTCTCCATTTGGCCCCAAGATTAAGTGTAGAGATCCTTTTGGATCGCATTACTCCGTATCTTTTGCATTTCAGCAATGACTCTGTTCCTAGAGTGAGGGCTGAAGCCCTGAGGACGTTGACCAAAGTTCTTGCTCTTGTCAAAGAGGTTCCTCGTAATGACGTCAACATCTATCCAGAATACATTTTGCCAGGCATTGCCCACTTAGCCCAAGATGATGCTACGATTGTTAGACTAGCCTATGCTGGTAAGATTTGCTGTTCAAGTAATAGCCACTCATATTTTTAAAGTTAATGCCTGTACCACCTCTTGTTTTTTTTATTTCTTTCAGAATTCCAAGTGTGAACTTTGGTCTTTGAACTGTTTGTATACATTTCAGTAATATTTATAGCTAATATATTCCTGGGACTCAATTTTTGTGTATTCATTCATTATTTGAAGTATTCAGAATTATCACATGAAAAAGCATATAATACAGAATCTTGTCGGCTTTCTTGGAGTGTTACTTTTTTTTTTTTTTAACTAGAACTGGGGTTTGAACTCAGGGCCTTCACCTTGAGCCACTCCACCAGCCCTTTTTTGTGATGGGTTTTTCAAGATAGGGTCTCTCAAACTATTTGGGCTGGCTTCGAACCATGATCCTCCTGATGTGTACTCCTGAGTAGCTAGGATTACAGGTGTGAGCCACTGACGCCCAGCTGGAGTGTTACATTTAATTTGGAATAAAACTGTTTACAAGTATGTGTTTCTGATTAGTGTGGTTAGGCCTTTCCGAAGTCTCTCAGAATAAACACATTTGTTTGACTCATAGTTGTAGGATATAACATTTTATTGTTGGAAAACATTCACTTTGTTGAGTAACTTGATGTTGAAAAAAACCTCATATACTAACTTTCTGGATTTTAAAGGTCCTTGCTCCAGTTACTTTAGCGCCTAGGCTATGCGACTTTGTGATGAAATGGATGTGTTAAACACACCTACTTGCTCTGCTTGTAATTCTCACTCATAAAGGAAATGTTCCAGAGGCATGTTTTTGGCTCCTCAAATTCTGAATGCTTATTTCAGCATGAAAAATAATGCTGAAACATTACATAATTCCATAATTTATGTCTGTGATCTGCTGGAAGTTAGAGTGTCTGTTTTGAAATCTTAGGAAATAGTACATAGCATGTGAGGTGATGATATTGTCCTTTTTTGCAAAAAACTTGCTTTGTTTATTTTTATGATTTGCCTGTCATTATTTGAATACAGTATGTGAAAAGTGGTCTTTGTACCCTAATCTTATCTCTAGGCACATCCACAAAGGGATTGGTGGCGGTTTGTGTTTTTCTCTTTCTATATATATAGTTTATATTTATTTATGGTTTCTGGTTTCCGTAGTTGTAAAGTCCAGGATTTCTTTAAGACACATGAGATTTTATTTATAACAAACATTTATAATTCACTTGGCAAATATAAATAATTGAATCAGATAAAATCAAGTAACAAAAGTTTATAGGTTTTTAAAAACAAGCTGTATTTTCCTTAGCAGAGTCTTGTGACCCTCCTTTTGGTGTAGTATATATCTTATTTGTTTTCAGTTCTGTCAAATAGGTTAAGTTCTGTATAGGTGCTATATTAACATTGACATCCAACTACTAATAACTGCAGCATACAAACAGTAGCTACTGTTTATTGAAAAACGTGCTGGGTGTTACAGTGTCTCTTGCGCAAGGTTGCTGTAAGGGGTAGTTGTGAGATCTCGCAAATAACCCTTGCAACAGCCTTGAGTAATAATTTATATTGCCTCTATTTTAAAGCTTAAGAAAGGTCAGCTAGCATGAGCCAACTGTGTCTGATCTAGTTCTAAGGTCTTAGAGCTGTTGGACTAGACTTGGCTTTGAGGAAATCCTGCTTTTCTTTGGTTTTCTGGGCTTTTATAATAATAGTCCACGATAACCCAGGTGCAGGCCAACACCTTCCGGTGTTCCTTCATAGCCTAGTGCCTTTGCTAGAAGAGTCAGAAGCCTATTTGAACTTGTGTGGCTAAGTGTGATTACATCATACATGTCAGTAAGTATATGTATTTAGAATCAACGTTTTTTTCTTTTTCTTTTTTAATTCATTTACTCATATGTACATACATTGTTTGAGCCATTTCTCCCCCCTGTCCCCCTGCCCCCTCCCTCTCCCCACCACCCCCCTCGCTATGCTGGTATAGATTTGTATCTTGTGTAAAGTGAACTTTCAAGTGTCTTGTGTTTATGGACTTAAAAGGAGATATAAACATATATCTATTTAGATTTTTTAAATACCCAGTAAAGTAAGAGACTTTTCAGAATAAAGAAATGTTATCAGGCTGGGTTTGTGATTCAAGTGGTAGAGCACCTGCCTAGCAAGTGCAAGGCCTTGAGTTCAATTCCCAATACTGCCAAAAAAAAAAAAAGACCCTCCATGGGCACTGGTTCCACACTCATGGATTCAACCAACTATAGATTAAATATTACCAAAAAATTAAACAAGTTTGTCTTTAGTGCATATATATGTAAGGCCTTTTTTATTTTTTGGTGATTATTCCCTGAGCAGTATAATATAGCAACTGTTTGTGTGGCATTTATGTAACATTGCAAGTAGCGCAGAGATGATTTAAAGTAAGAGGGAGGATGGTCTTAGATAGTTTACAAGTATATACAAGTACATAACACCGCTTTGTAGAAGGGTGTTTTCAGATTTTGGTATCTGAAAGGGGTTCTAGAACCAACGCCCCCACAAATACCAAGGAGCAACCATACTATATTAAGTAGGGCTACTCATCTAGAATTTTGGCTGGTTATCAGGATATGGACTAGAAATTCCCTGACTCTTTTTTGGTGTTGGTGCTTGAACCCAGGTCCTTGAGTGTGCTAAGCAAGCACTCTACCACTGAGCTACACCCCAACCCTAAAATACCCCTTCTGTAGGGCATGCAGGCAATATAGGGCATTAGCATCGTGCTTATGTTCTGTTTAGAGTAATGTTGAATGTGGGATGGGACCCCAAGATGAATAAATAGGGTCACTGTGTTTGATAAACTCACAGGTCTCAACTACTTTAAGGTGGATTTTGATTTCATAGATGTTGCCAAGTAGAGAAGTACATGAGGCCATGGGTTCAATCTCTACAAAAGATTGATCACTATAAAAATCAACAAAAAAAGAGAAGTAGTCTTGTTTTAATTCAAGGTAGTTAAATTTTAGGTGCAGTGCTATTTGTCTAAGAAGGAAGAGAGTAGTCTTTGGTTATGGAAGCACAGAAGCAGGAAGCAAGGGAGGGCACAGGAGCAAATAAAAAAGAAAGGACAGTGACAGGAAAAAGTGAAGAGCAGATATAATTAATAGTAAACATGATGGCAGGAGTTAGAAGTAAATATTTTATAGTGGTGACAGCAAGAGAAAATATAGACAAATGAAGAAGTGTGGCAGCAGTCCCCACTGTGGTCCACTGAGAACTTTAGAATATCATTTGTTAAGCAACCTAACAATGGTTGTTGATTCAGTTTGCTAATGGCTCTTGGAGGTAGCCCTGTGTCCTTGTTTATATGTTAAAAAACAGACTCAGGTTGTTTAAGCAGCAAGCTAGAAAGTGATGTCTGGCCGATTCCAAAGCCCTGCTTGATGTTATTTTAATATGAATGTGTCTATGTTAGTTTAAATACTTTTGTAAAGGGTAGATCTTTATAGAAGGTTTAAGTTTTTTTTTTCTCTTTAAATTTGAATACTATGGTTGCTTTTATATTTTTTTAAAGTATATAGGAAAGTAAATAGTGAATCATTTTTTCATATTTTTAAAAAGCTTATGTTTTGTTAAAACTGCAGTTTGGAGATAGTTGTAGATTATGAAATTAGTTACTAAAAATCTGATTAAGTGCTAAATTGAAAATTCCTACTTTTCCCCTTAGTTTTATGATTATTATTTATGTGTGTTAAGATTTAGGAACTGGGCATGGTTGTGCATACTTATATAATCCCAGTACTCAGGAGGCACAGGCAGGAGGAGGTTCTCAAGTTAAGAGTAGCCTGGGCTACATAACAAGACTTATTTCCCTGTCCCCTCCCCCCAAAAAAGGAGGAAATGTTATAAGTATCAGGAACATTTAAGAGTATAATTATAACTTTTCTCCCTTTTTATCTTATAGAAAACATAGCTCTGCTAGCAGAAACAGCTCTGAGATTCCTGGAATTAGTACAGCTAAAAAATCTCAACATGGAAAATGATCCTAACAGTGAAGAAATAGGTGAAGCCACACATCCGAATGGGAATTATGACACAGGTTGTATAATTTTCTCTTCCTTCAGTTCCTGTTTAGAATGAATTGCCAATGCTAAAGTTGCAAAAACTGTCATTTTTAGTTTTCTTACAAAGTGAAGGAGTACCAGGTATTTAGATAGAAAGGACCCTGATTGATCTTTCAGTCCTCAGACACTGTTATCTAGGTAGAAAATGACCAGCTGGTTCCAGAGATTCCAAACAGTTGTTTTTCAGTCAGAACTGATTTGTGTGAACAGTAAAACTGGTTGAGTTATATAATCTCAGAAAAGAGAAAAAAGATAATCACAGCTATAGAGTCCAAACCTTTTCTTCTCATGTGAGTAGATTTTGAGTATCCTTAGTTATAAACTGTCTTTATTTCATACTATCTTTGATTTACGTATCAAAACCCACCCCTTTTACTGTAAAGAAACATGTAATGATAAACTCACTTGGGGCTCCATCTTTAGATTTCTTTATGTTGATACAACTTTCAACATGGTTTTAGTAGAGTGAAAGACTTAGAAGTAAAATACATACTTAATCTGCTTCAAGATGGTTCTAGTTGAAAAATACTAGGAAACTCTAGTTTGTAGATGTTTATGCTATAGACAACTACACTGGCAATTGGACCGTTTTTGGTAGTGAGTTCAGGTGTTAAGACTTCTGAGGAGCTAATATAAAAGGTTTTCTTTGATGTGAGCTCAAAACTTTACCTATCAGACCAGTCACCTTTTCCCTTGATAGTAGCTTGATGGAGCAGGAGTGGCCTCTGCCTTCTTTCATTTAGTCAGAAGGTAATATGAACCTACTCTAAGCACCAGGGAAATGGTGGTAAGTAAAACAGTCTCTGCTCTTGAACTAACATTTCAGTAAGGGAAGGGCAGCTAACTAACTGTGAGGAGAAGATGACTAGAAAATAAGGTCAGAGAAGAATTATTAGATCTGCAAAGCCTTAACAGGACTCACAGATTTTCTAGTTTTCTAAAATACAATCAACCTATCTGTAAAAATGCTTTCTAAAAGTACCATCATATTGCATGCTGAACCAATTTGGTGTTTTCAAGCTCTTGCTCATGTTGATATTTTGGGGGTAGTAATGCCCTCCTTTCTGGTGCTTCCTTTTAATTTTCTTCTTGCACTCATAAACAGCTGTTTAATTAGTGAGTGGCTTATGGCATGGCCTTCAGTTTCCCATGCTTCAGAGCTTTGAGTAATGGAAATTCATAAAGATGATAGACTTTCTGTGGTGGCTTCTGCCATTGCTTTGTTACTCCAAAGAAAGAAGACTAGGCTGGGCCTGGTGGTCCCCATCTGTAACTATAGCACTTGGGAGGCTAAGACAGGAGGATTGTGAGTTTGAGGCCAGTCTGGGCTACATGGCGAAACCTTTCTGAGAAAGCGAGAAGTGGGGAGAGGAAAGAAAGAAGAAAGATGATTTGTGTATATGGGAAAAATTGATTATTGTTTTTGTTTTTTAGAGCTCCAAGCCTTACATGAAATGGTCCAGCAGAAAGTTGTGACTTTGCTAAGCGACCCTGAAAACATTGTGAAGCAGACGTTGATGGAGACTGGGATAACTCGGTTGTGTGTGTTCTTCGGGCGGCAGAAGGCCAATGATGTGCTGCTGTCCCACATGATCACGTTCCTCAATGACAAGAACGACTGGCACCTGCGCGCGGCTTTCTTCCACAGCATAGTCGGTAAGCTTTGCCTTAGGTTCTGCAAGACCAATGGAGTGATGAAATGAGTGCTTAGTGTCTCTGCATATCTTCATGCTGCGTTTGCATGATGTGCTTTAGCAGACCAGAGGCTCTGGTTAGATTAACCTGTGAAATATCCACATGAAGGAGTATCATGGGATCATTAAAAACTATGTTTTAAAAGAAAACCTGAGAAAACAATATGAAACGTTTTTAAAGTGACTGAAGAAGTGTGATCCCAGCTGTGTAAAGGTAACAGTAACAGAAATTAAAAAGGCTGAAATGCACTAAATGAATAATGGTTAACTCTTTCTGCTGAGATAGTAGCTGTTTTTTTATATTTCCCATATTTGTCAGATTTTCTGCAGTGAACATACATTGCTTTTAAAACCAGAAAATAGTTAAAATGTAATGATGGTTGAAAGTCTATTAGAAAGAAAATTAAAATTTACAGGGTTGGCTTTGTGTGAACTGAAAAGTAGTAAAAAGGTAAGCAGCTTTTTTGCTTTCTTTCATTTTCCATTCTTGATATTCAAATTTATGTAAAGAAGACAGGCATCTTGTATTTTATCTGTGTGATTCATCTTTAGATTAAGTAGTTCATGTTAAAACCATGTTACTGAATCCACTAACCATTATTTCCCCCATGATTTTAGCAGCTTGTCTGTTACCCCAAAAGGCTTAAAGAATATTCTACACATAGGATTGTGGCTGGCATTCAAACTTCTCATGAGGCTCAGAGAACCATAAGGCTTTAAGTTTTGGTTTCCAATAATCCAGAAAAGTAACTGCTGTAAGATTTGCTGTTGGATTTTTCTTTTTTTTCCTGAGATTTAAAACATGAAAAAAACGCATACAGCAATAGACTGATTTTTCTCTATGTGCTGTCATACAGTGTTAGGGAGAAAAGGGTACTTTCTGTTTTGGAAATTGTCAAATTGCTGGCTGTTCTTACTTTGTTCTCACTGGAAGTTAAATAAGCCCTCTCTTCACACATGTTCAACTTGTTTTATTTTGCATTGGTTATTGATATACTGCATCTTGTGTCTAGAACTCCATCCACCTTAGCCCGAATACACTGTACTTTACTTCCTATATTTTTTTTGTCCTTCTTAAGCTTTTGTCTTTTCCTTCTAAATAATAATAATTTCTTGGAGAAAGGTGGTGTGTAGAACTTCCCCATCTATTGGTCAATTCATGTTATATTAGTTTATTTGAAAATTTTAATTATTTTTTGTTATTTATAAAAGCAATATATACATGCGGTAGAAAAATGTGGAGAATATAGAAACAAGAAGAAAACAACCACTAACTCTTCAACCTCTGTTAATGTTTTGGTATTTTTCCTACAGGTCTCCGTTTTCTTTTTCTATCCCGTCTGTTCTATTCTGTCACAAACTAATAGTCAAGAACAGGAAGGTGGAGGCAGTGTTCAAGTTTGAGTCAGTTACTTATTAGTTGTGGTCCTTGGGAAAATCACTTAATCTCTTTAGTACCTTTGTTTCTCTATCTGTAAAATAGGAATAATTACAGTACCTGTCTCTGGTTGTTGCGAAGATAAAATAACAAGTTTAATAGTGTCATCTTATTATTTTTTAAACTTTGGCAACATAATCTAGGCATTTTCTAATGTCACTAAAAATTCTTTGAAATCATAACTTAATAGATCCAAATTATTGTTATATAATTTTACCAAATGTCATTTGCCCTTATTTTGGATATTTAAATTATTCTTATTTTTAATCATACTATTCCAGGTTATCTTTCATATTTATTTAAATAAGTGAAATACTTAGGTATTGAAGTACAGTCACGTGCTCCTTAGTGATGGAGTCTCATTTTGAGAAAGGCATCATTAGCCGATTTCATCACTGTTCACATGAGCGTCTACCCTCATCACTGAGACGGCTGCAGTGACGCAGGTGATCGAACCTCACGGGGCCACTGTCGTCTGTGCTGTCTGTGCTTGACCAAAACATTGTGAGGCACATGTCTGAGTTTGCTTTTGGTTGTTTTCCGAGATAAGGGTATGGCGTTACGTCTCTAGGCCGGCCGGGCTACATCGCGAGACCCGGCCTCAGCGCCCCAACGCCGCCCATCTTCCACGTTTTCAGAACGCTGCTCTTCCACCCCCGTCAGCCTTACGCTTTGCTTAATCATTGCTGTTGGATGGGTGGTTTGTGTGTATTTCTTTGCTTATCAAGTTGAAAAAAAATTTCATGTTGTTTGTTTGCATATTTCTTTTATGAATTTTTTTATCATATTTTAGCTTGTTTTTTTCTGATGGAGTTATTTATAGTCACTGATTTTTTTGTCTTTTTATATCTATAAAGATTGTAAATGTTATCAATTTGAAGGCAAATACTTCTCTCATTTTTAACTTCTTTTTTTTTAAATATATATTTTCTTTTTAAAATTTTAGACTTTTTGATTTTTGAGACCGGATCTTTATAGTTCCGGCCAGCCTTGAACTTGAGATCCTCTTATGTCCACCTCTGTGATGCTGGGATTATAGTTGTGTACCACCATGCCTAACCTGTCTACATATTCTCTTAAACAGTTTTTATGTAGACAATTTATTGGTCTTGTGATTTTTGAAAAAATTTTTATGTTAAAATCTTTTCCCATTCCAGAGTTCATCTCCTGTGTGCTTTTCTTTTAAAAAATGTTTTATGCTTTTCCTCTTTTTAAAAAATGCTTTATTTTTTAAACTTAATTATATAATTGATCTTTGGGCTCTGCATAAGGCTAAATCTAAATTTCATTTTCTTCTCAAGTATACACTGTTTCTCCACTGTTCTTATTAAGCATATTATTTCTTTGCCATTGGTTTCTGAAGCTCTCTTTATTTGTTGCCTGTTCTGTTAAGGTCAGTTTTCTGGGTATCTGGTCTATTTCATTGATTTCCCTACTGTTGTACTTATATATATATATATATATATATATATATATATATTTTATAATTGATGTTAGTATCCACTGGGGTAAATTCCCAGATGTCACTTTTCATTTTCAAAATATTTGTACCAATTGAAATTATTTTGCATTTTTCAGTTTTGTAAAGCTCCTAAATATATAATCCACTAGAATTGTAGGTAGAATTTTTTTCTTTTTATTAAAAACAATTCCAAAAGCATTTTGAATCAAAATTTTTATGATACTATTTTTAGTATTATCAACTTTAGATACTGCTTTTTTAAATATTATCTACGACAGATTTTTTTTGAGGCAGAGTCTTGCCATGTAGCCCAGGCTGGTCTCAGACTCAAAAGCCTCCTGCTTTTGCTTCCAGAGTGCTGGGATTTCAGGCGTGTTCCACCACCTCTGGCTCCAGGTAAAAATTTAACTGACTCAGAATCGTGCTTTGATTTCTCTTCTGTCATGTTGAAATGTTGACCACTAGTTTTCAGTTTGTTGTTTTTATTAGTTTAAGTAATTCGACCTATTATTACCCTGCTTTTGATTTGCACAATGAAGAGATTAATGCCTGTTCCCCTCCACACGTTCCCTCCCCATCTGGTCAGTTGAATTTTTAATCAGCAGTTTTATTGCCGTAGTTTATGGTATGTACTTCTGTGTTATAGTCATAGCAGAGCCTTGCACTTTGTGTAGATGGGTTCTAAAGGTCCAGGACAAAATTTACACGGTTGTGAATGTGTAAGTTTTAGTGACTGTGGAGCCAGATCGCATATGATGATTAATTTCTTCTGGCAGTCCAGTTGCCCCGTGTGCAGCAGCATCAGCAGGTTCCGCTTTCTTTCCTCATTCACTGACTAAATACAGTGAAAGTTTTAGTTGTTTCATTTTTAGATCATGACTTTTGTTTATTTGTCCTGAATTTTAAGATTCTTTTTTTCCATTTAGAAAGAAAAAAAAGTAATTTCTTTACCAATATTATTAGTTGCTTAGAATCTGTTCCATTTTTCTTCTTCATGATATTCTTGAAGTTCTCTTGTAATTTGGGCTGAGTCATTTCTAGATCTTTGTTAGCTACCATCCTTTTTTCCTCCTTGAATTCCTAGGTTAGATGTACCATTTTGTACATTATACATCTTCTTTATTTTGCTGGCGTTCATTCTCAGGAAACTCTCTTAGAAAGGTTTGCTTAGGAGGTAAACTTGTACAGCCTTTGCATGTCTTGAAATGACTTACTTTTGTTTTCTTATGTCATTGACAGATTGGGTGTAGAATTTCTTTTGCCAATGTTGAAAGTCTTGCTCTGTTGTTTTCTAGCCTCCGTTGTTGAAGATCATGTGACCCCAGTCTGACTCTTCTTCCTTTTTAGGAGACCTATGTTTTCCTTTTTGTAAGTCCTTAGGATCTTTGTTTTTCCTTTCTTGATGATTTGCTTTGGTGTGGGTCTTTTTCATTTATTTTGCTGGGTAGGAAGTACATTGTTCTTTCCTGGGTTTTTGATCATATGTTTGGCTTTGTTTTGTTTTAACGTTTTACTTAAAGTATATTTTCAGTTATTGAATAATGACATTGCTTTTCATTTTCAGGTGTTGCTGCCTATGTTGGCTGGCAAAGTTCCTCGATTCTCAAGCCCCTGCTGCAGCAGGGTCTTAGTGATGCTGAGGAATTTGTAATCGTGAAAGCTCTTAATGCCCTAACCTGTATGTGCCAGTTAGGGCTGCTACAGAAGCCTCACGTCTATGAATTCGCCAGTGACATTGGTAAGTTTCTGTTTTGGAAATTTGAATGAGAAAATTAGGGTGTGGAAATAACTTAAAATCTCTACCTAATATAAAGAATTGCAGCTTCATGATTCCACCTGTTGGTTTGTGTGTACATGCACGTGTGTGTGTATGCATATGCATTATTGTATGAGTGAATGTGACAAACATGGCACACTTACTTGGTCCCCCGGCCCAGGTTTGGAAAGAGCAGTTTGTTTTCATCTGTTGCTAGTCTTTGTGACCCTTGGAAAATAATACTAAGTTTTTTTTTAAAAACTCAATATGGATAAATTGTTGACTGTTCTTTAAATGATACTTATTTTGGGGGCTGGGGTGTAGCTCTGTGGTAGTGTGTGCTTAGCATTTGTGAGGGCCTTGCTTCATTTCCTAGCATTATGAAATAAAAAACCAGAAACTTTATTTGGGAGCAATTGACCACTAGTAAAGTGGAAAATTGGATGTGAAGGATCGTCTAGATGTCTTTCCCAGTGTTGATTATACAGCTTATGAACACATGAAAGGCTTTTGTTCCTTAACCTTTATACCACTGATGTATTCCCTCAAACTTTTAAAATTCAGAGTAACAGCAAACAAACAAATGTGGCAAATTATGAAATTAATATATCCGGAGGCTGGGGATGTAGTTTAGTAATAGACCGCTTATCTTTGCACAAGGCTCTGGGTTGGATTGCCAGCACCACAGGGGGAAAACTTTTAGTCTTATTGTTACTTTATTTCAAGAGAGGAAGTGATACAAGATTGCTTTTGACTTTGTATGGAAAGAACATAAAATCTTAGAAAATTGCCTTTTTAGGTAAAATACTTGCTGCTGAATGATTTGCTAAGGAAAATTAATACAAATTCATCTTGGTTAGACCTGAATAATTTTCTTGAGGCAGTTCTCAGAGGAAAAAGACATGAGTTACTGTTTGTTTTGATTGCTGTGAAAATAGATGGTAGGTAGTGGGGTTGAAAAAGTTGTGGAAAACTGTCATGAACTTAGTAGGCTTTTTTTAATTTTGTGGAAAGTTAAAGCATATGTAATTTTCTTGTTTTGAACTCTAATATCTATAATTATACTTTAGTTTATAACTAATGTTGGTTTGAGTTTGATTATGTTAAAAATAATCACAAACTTAGGAGACACTGAGCCTTGGCAGCATAAGAGTGTTTTGACTTTTGGTATAAGCTGCAGAGTGCTGATCTTGAGGGATTCGTTTTTCTCTAAGATTTTTCTGTGTGTTTCAGGAGCTAATATGAAAGTGAAATCGATCAATATTATAGTAAAAATGATGTTAGGTTGTCTTATTGAATTTCTGGCCCTTTATTGTCTAAGGCAGAGCTAGAAAGCACCTGTCCTCATAATATCAAGGAGGAAATGTTGTGTCTTATCTATGTAGTTTGCTACCTGAAATATCTTCCTATTTTGTTTTCTAGATTTTCACATCAGTGTTTTCTTTTACCCTTGTCAAAGTGGCCCTCCTTGTAACACATTGAACTTTTCTTGCTTTGAACTCTCATACTCTTTATTTAAAGGCACATCCTCTGTATACAAGTATATGCTCTTACGTTATAATTTCACATAATACATTTCTTTTTCACATATTTTCTCTTGGGTTTTTTTTTTTGTTGTTTTTTTGGTGGCACTGGGGTTTGAACTCTGGGCTTTGCACTTGCAAACCAGGTGCTCTACAGTTGAGCCATGCCTTCAGTCTTATATTGTGGTGATACTGATGAATATTTATCTTAATCACCTTTGCCAGTATTTATCATAATACATAAAACATTGCAGAAACGATTTTGCAATCCACTAATGATAGCAGAAATTTTTGCCCATTCTATCTGGTCTCTTCACTCTGTTTCTTTTGCTATACTAATATAATCCCATCTCATTTTTGCTTTTCATTTCTTTTTTTTTTTTTTTTTTTTCCTTTATTATTCATATGTGCATACAAGGCTTGGGTCATTTCTTCCCCCTGCCCCCACCCCCTCCCTTACCACCCACTCCATCCCCTCCCTCTCCCCCAACCCCCTCAATACCCAGCAGAAACTATTTTGCCCTTATTTTTAATTTTGTTGAAGAGAGAGTATAAGCCATAATAGTAAGGAACAAGGGTTTTTGCTGGTTGAGATAAGGATAGCTATACAGGGCATTAACTCACATTGATTCCTGTGTGTGTGTTACCTCCTATGTTAATTCTTTTTGATCTAACCTTTTCTCTAGTTCCTGGTCCCCTTTTCCTATTGGCCTCAGTTGCTTTTAAGGTATCTGCTTTAGTTTCTCCGCGTTAATGGCAACAAATGCTAGCTAATTTTTTAGGTGTCTTACCTATCCTCACCTCTCCCTTGTGTGCTCTCGCTTTTATCATGTGCTGAAAGTCCAATCTCATTGTTGTGTTTGCCCTTGATCTAATGTCCACATATGAGGGAGAACATACGATTTTGGGTCTTTTGGGCCAGGCTAACCTCACTCAGAATGATGTTCTCCAATTCCATCCATTTACCAGCGAATGATAACATTTCGTTCTTCTTCATGGCTGCATAAAATTCCATTGTGTATAGATACCACATTTTCTTAATCCATTCGTCAGTGGTGGGGCATCTTGGCTGTTTCCATAACTTGGCTATTGTGAATAGTGCCGCAATAAACATGGGTGCAGGTGCCTCTGGAGTAACCTGTGTCACAGTCTTTTGGGTATATCCCCAAGAGTGGTATTGCTGGATCAAATGGTAGATCAATGTTAGCTTTTTAAGTAGCCTCCAAATTTTTTTCCAGAGTGGTTGTACTAGTTTACATTCCCACCAACAGTGTAAGAGGGTTCCTTTTTCCCCATCCTCGCCAACACCTGTTGTTGGTGGTGTTGCTGATGATGGCTATTCTAACAGGGGTGAGGTGGAATCTTAGTGTGGTTTTAATTTGCATTTCCTTTATTGCTAGAGATGGTGAGCATTTTTTCATGTGTTTTTTGGCCATTTGAATTTCTTCTTTTGAGAAAGTTCTGTTTAGTTCACTTGCCCATTTCTTTATTGGTTCATTAGTTTTGGGAGAATTTAGTTTTTTAAGTTCCCTATATATTCTGGTTATCAGTCCTTTGTCTGATGTATAGTGGCAAATATTTTCTCCCACTCTGTGGGTGTTCTCTTCAGTTTAGAGACCATTTCTTTTGTGAACAGAAGCTTTTTAGTTTTATGAGGTCCCATTTATCTATGCTATCTCTTAGTTGCTGTGCTGCTGGGGTTTCATTGAGAAAGTTCTTACCTATACCTACTAACTCCAGAGTATTTCCTACTCTTTCCTGTATCAACTTTAGAGTTTGGGGTCTGATATTAAGATCCTTGATCCATTTTGAGTTAATCTTGGTATAGGGTGATATACATGGATCTAGTTTCAGTTTTTTGCAGACTGCTAACCAGTTTTCCCAGCAGTTTTTGTTGAAGAGGCTGCTATTTCTCCATCGTATATTTTTAGCTCCTTTGTCAAAGATAAGTTGCTTATAGTTGTGTGGCTTCATATCTGGGTCCTCTATTCTGTTCCACTGGTCTTCATGTCTGTTTTTGTGCCAGTACCATGCTGTTTTTATTGTTATTGCTTTGTAATATAGTTTGAAGTCAGGTATTGTGATACCTCCTGCATTGTTCTTTTGACTGAGTATTGCCTTGGCTATTCGTGGCCTCTTGTGTTTCCATATAAATTTAACAGTAGATTTTTCAATCTCTTTAATGAATGTCATTGGAATTTTGATGGGAATTGCATTAAACATGTAGATTACTTTGGGGAGTATCGACATTTTTACTATGTTGATTCTACCAATCCATGAGCATGGGAGATCTCTCCACTTTCTATAGTCTTCCTCAATCTCTTTCTTCAGAAGTGTATAGTTTTCCTTGTAGAGGTCTTTCACATCTTTTGTTAGGTTTACACCTAGGTATTTGATTTTTTTGAGGCTATTGTAAATGGAATTGTTTTCATATATTCTTTTTCAGTTTGCTCATTTTAGTGTATAGAAATGCTAATGATTTTTCTATGTTGATTTTATATCCTGCTACCTTGCTATAGCTATTGATGATGTCTAGAAGCTTCTGAGTAGAGTTTTTTGGGTCTTTAAGGTATAGGATCATGTCGTCTGCAAACAGGGATATTTTGACAATTTTTTACCTATTTGTATTCCTTTTATTCCTTCTTCTTGCCTAATTGCTCTGGCTAGGAATTCCAGTACTATGTTGAATAGGAGTGGAGATAGTGGGCATCCTTGTCTGGTTCCTGATTTTAGAGGGAATGGTTTCAGTTTTTCTCCGTTAAGTATAATGCTGGCTGTAGGTTTGTCATATATAGCTTTTATAATGTTGAGGAACTTTCCTTCTATTCCTAGTTTTCTTAGAGCTTTTATCATGAAATGATGTTGGATCTTATCAAAGGCTTTTTCTGCATCTATTGAGATGATCAAGTGGTTTTTGTCTTTGCTTCTGTTAATGTGGTTTATTATATTTATTGATTTTCGTATGTTGAACCACCCTGCATCCTGGGATGAAGCCTACTTGGTCGTGGTGAATAATCTTTTTGATGTGTTGCTGAATTCGGTTTGCCATTATTTTTTGAGGATTTTTGCAATGTTCATTAAGGAGATTGGCCTATAGTTCTCCTTTTTGGAGGTGTCTTTGCCTGGTTTTGGGATAAGTGTAATACTGGCTTCATAAAATGTGTTTGGCAGTTTTCCTTCCCTTTCTATTTCATGGAACAGTTTAAGGAGGGTTGGTATCAGTTCTTCTTTAAAGGTCTGATAGAATTCAGCAGAGAATCCATCAGGTCCTGGACTTTTCTTTTTGGGGAGACTCTTGATTGCTGCTTCAATTTCATTTTGTGTTATAGATCTATTCAGGTGATTAATTTCCTCTTGGTTCAGTTTTGGATGATCATATGTATCTAGAAATCTGTCCATTTCTTTAAGATTTTCAAATTTATTTGAATATAGGTTCTCAAAGTAGTCTCTGATGATTTC